ACTGCAATTTGTGGCAGCAGTAAAAAAAAAAAAAAAACAGTTATTGCTTCCTTGAATTTACAAAACATAGAAAGAACAATATTAAAAGTACAACTATCTAAATAATTTTTGTCAACGATATGCAATGATTTATACACAACGACAAAGTGAATTTGAAAGAATGGAGACTTCAAAAGTCCTTCCAGGGTTAAGCCCAGGGTTAAGCTCATAATTTCGGAAGAGCGAATGATTCAACGCTGTTGCGTTTCACAAAGGAAAAATTAGTATACGCCCGAAAGCACGCTTCCTTTCGCTGTCTCCTCTGCAATTTAAATTGCCAGGTACATGCATCGCGGCTGAAATGAAAATTTAACGATTCAAGGAAACCAGTTATTCGCGCGTTAGAGCAACCTCGACGGTTCACCGTTCGCCAGGCCTCGCAAAGGAAATTCGTTGTCCGTTCAATAGAGTCAGAGGCGATGTTCTTTTGCTACGACGCGACGGCTGAAAATTCAGCTCCCGCGAACCGGCTGAATTCGAATTATCCATGCGCGCATGAATAAAACAGAGACTGCGCGAATTCTTTTTTCCACGGTTTCATATACAATTTAATATTTTAATTTTGTCGACGAGACTCGGATTTTTAACGACTGTTCCAGACCTGTTAGCCTCATTAAGACTGCACCTGGAGCGAAAGAAAAAGACGTATGAATAACGCGACGTAGTTACTGTTACCACAGTACCAACATATTCTTACGTATAGTCATGTTGCGGAACAACGAAACCTCATTTACGTTAACGGTGTGGATTACCGTATAATTAAAATAATTCGATCAATCGTTCGCTCGTATTACGATCTCGTTATCGGTAACAATCGAATTGTAATCGTTCCATGATCGGCACTGGACTTTTCTGTGCTCTCATAGCATTGTGACAAGAATTAAACAGGAATATACGTATTGTAACAATTGTCGTAATACCCTTAGAATCGTAATATTATTAATATAGAAAACATATTCAAGCAAGACTTGTTTGAAATTAGATTCGTTCAAACATTGACTACCACAAATCTTCATGTCTTGAAGTGGGTCAGCGTGGATCAGTATTCACGGTCCAGAGTGTTGAATAAAGTTTTGCGTATCGTGCTTGAATCTCCAGGATATATAGACTCGAGCTCTGTAGTTTGACTTTTATTACGAGTCCAGTCACGGTACTATAATAAATATTATCCAACGTTCTTCGCGGTAAACGATGTAAATCAATGTACACCACGCATTAAAGGAAAGTAAAACACTGCAGTTCTGCGTGAAAATTGTATATAGATCAATCGTGAAACTTTAAAATGGATCTTAAAGATGAATCGAGTCCATCACGCGTAATCTGACCTGTATTAGCAGTCCACTAGTTAAATATTATTCAACATCCTAGTCTCGAACCGACTCGTCGTCCACGATTGACCATGATTGCCCTAGCCACCATTAACGTAAATGAAGTCGAATAATTTCTGAAAAGAAGCTCCGTTCTGCGTTCGCGGAAAATCTTCTAGCGTCATCGAGAAATCGCCCCCACGTGATCATTATCGATAATGACACCGCTAACACGGAAAGGAAAGATTCGTTAACGCGGTACTTAACGTGTACGTAATAATATTATTAAAATTGAGTCCGCTGCAACCCTCTCTGTTCTTAAAATTCTATGTTACATATTCAATGAATTATTACTAGACTTAGTTGAGCATGTGCCTATACTCAATCTTTGCTCGATAAGAATCCTCGAGCACGACTATCAATTAAATTCCTAGAGTACATAAATACGGAGCGTGAATGGCGACCTCTAAACTTTCCTTTTGCATTGCTAAATGTCCATCCGCTCCAAAGTATTACGTTTATGATTCCGTATTCCGAGTACCAAGAATATGTACACACGGTGTATGCATCGCGTAATATACACCTCCGTACACGTAGAAAATACGTATAATTCGTTTATAGTGGTTCCTCATGGATGAAGTAAAGTAAATGTAGCTGGTAATAGGAATAAGAACGTTTATCTCTCAACAGATCTAGATGTATTAGCTAACGATACATTTAAGGTATATTTTGAATCAAATATTGAATTCGTATTGAGCAAAGACGTTTCTTATTTCTATTCCACGTGCAATGCAGCTATATTTAGTTCATTTCATCCGATGGTTCAAAGACGTGGCTAATATCCCAAAAAATCTATAATACATATCTGGCTCTGACAGAGTCAACCGGTAGCCGTTGCTGATACGAACATCGATAACACGGAAGTTACAATCGGCACTCCATACTCGTGCTTATAATACTCAAAGGTACAGTGTCCTGATTAGGCGTACGCCGAATTGCACTCGATTAAATATCGATGCGTATCTTTTGTGTCGTCTGTTTGGGTCCTACAAGTTTATTGTTATCGTTTAAAAGTAGCCCTGGTACCGCGATCCATTTCCCTTCCGTCGCGTTTTCTCACTTCAGGAATAATATGTTCGGCCATTGGAAACGCGTAGGCCGTCCAACAAATAGATGGATTGATCGAAATTAATTAAACGATCTCGATCCCATCGCCTTGGCCTGCCGAACAGGCTTTCCTTTCGAGTATGCGTCCAATTCGCACCAACTTCGATAAATCTCGCATACTTACGATCCAACTTTGGAAAACGAGAATCAAGAACGCGCTGAGGCATTTCAAAAGCTGCACCATCTCGTTAAACCACGTTCCCATGTGCGGTGTGGGACTCCCTTAATAGATTCACTTCGCGTGATTTTCACTTGGAAAGTACTGGAGCTCTACTTCTCCAAATATTGCGTGATATTTGAAAAATTGTTGAAATTCAAGGGAACTTGAAAGTAAATACTTGGATGGAATTTAAATTGAAAGATGCTTGTTTAATTTGAGAAACGATGCTTCGAATAAATAGCGCAGGAACGTACGTGGTTTTACGTTAGATGTTTTTCAGAATGTTTTTGAAGGAAATCAGTCTTAGTCCGACTCTTGCGATATCTCAGACGCTTTGAAAAGAGCAAAAGGCGACCAAGCGAAAACAAATTTGTTCGGAAACTTTATCTCGTAGAAGTATTTCTCAGTGAGTCGACAAATCCAAACAAATTTTCCGCTAACCACTTTAAAAATCACGTTGGATATTGGATTGCCAACGAAGGACGGTTGAAAATGAATTTATTTAGAAACTTTATCCCGAAGCAGTGGTTCTCGTAACCTAACCCAACTTCAAGTAATTATTTACAGTTATCAGATCTCCCAAGGCTGGTTTCGCTCAAAGAAAATTGTTCAGTGATCGATAATTGTCGAAGCTTGGGGATCGAGAACCACTACATCGAGTGGAGCTCGCTTAATTGCGTGACACGGATAATTTCATGATAGGCCAAATGAAACCTTACCAGACTAACTATACCGCGTACCTGCGACATAACGTTAGCCAAAAAAAAGCATCGTTCAATTTGCTTACGTGGCTCGCGAATCAAACATTGAAATCGACTGAAATTTCTAAGAATTATGTAACTCAATTAAAATAATTTAAATGAGAGTGATCGTTATCACGGAATTAGGCCCGCGACATTGTCGATTTACGCATCGCTATTGACTTAAAAGAAATAAAAATACAAAGTTCAACTAATCACAACAAGCCAGGAACGCTTCGTTACTGTATAACATGGCGTGTTTGTCTTCATTCTCACCGTTAAGATATCAACGTGAAAGCTAATTACCTTTCCCTGAAAATATTATGTCTAAACATAATTAATTTAATTTCAAGGTTCTTGGATAAAGCTGCTCGTCAGTCCGTCCAACGAAAGTGTCCAAAAAGGGATTCCAAAAGGGTTGAAGTTCATTCAGCCGTGGATGTCGGTACTGAACTTTAAAAGTAGCTTACTGCTAAAGCGTCAAACACTATGCTCGACGAACCCAAGCCTTTCCATCCGATGATCCCGATCGAGATTCGATCGAAACCGCCTCGAGCGAACCTTTCGACGAAAGGGCAATCGACGAAGCTCTAACGATGGGAAGGATCGCTACGTTCGCGTACGTCGTCGACGAACAATTGTTTCTCCCGACCAGACGTCGTTATCACATCTTTGTTATCACGTGAATGAAAAAATAAACCTTTCTGTAGCGCAACCTTCGCCCATAGTCGCCCCCGAAGGGCTGATTATGCAGTTTCGACGGCGACAGCGCACGCCATCGTCCATCAGCCATGAAACGCCTCGGTAAAGAGGATAACGTCGCTATCAGGGACCTTCGTCGAGGAAGGAAGACGACATTTTCGTTCGGACAATTTGCCGCGAATAAAATTCGTTGTAAATGTGTTGCTGGTTGGTCTAATTCGTATCGTTACGACAATTCTCATCCCGATAAAATTCCATTGCATTATTAATTATAGTTTGGACTATGATACAACTATTACTTATAGTTTGGACGAGTTCTTTTGCGATGAATGTACTGTGCAAAGCTGAGACATTGATCTGTGGAAGGCATCGTATTACTTGAGACATTTTCAATGACGTCTGCGATTACGCAAAAATTACTCGACACCGTTTAGTCTCTTTAATCCGTGAACTGACCAAGAAACCAAGTCAACAGAAGAGCTACGAACAATTACAGTTTCTTGCCAGTCTTATCCTTACGAAACCCCATAATAATTTCATCCTGAGTTGTTTAAACTAAAATAAGCGTACCACCCGATCCCCTACAATCCCATCTCAACTGCAAAGGATTAATCAGCGTCCAACTACGATACGAATCGCAAAGTATTCGACAACAAAAAACGAAAGAGCAATTACCTGCAGCCTTCGAAACATGAAACGGTCTCGTGCCTGAGCCCAGTTCCATGATCGCGACGCATTCCTCCTCAAGGGATCATAATCATCCGACTAAACGCGTCGTTTCATCGTCAGCTTGTTACACCCAGCGTTGGATTAAGATCTCGTAGACCCCTGGGCTACAGATACTGTGAGGCCCCCGATAATAATATCAAAAGAAAACAAAAATGGTAAAGGAAAATTAAATTTATTTTTACAAGACTATTCATTTATATAACACTTGGCAAATATAGTTTTCTCACCTTCAAACATTTCTTATTATCACTAAAACTGAAAGGAATTTCTTTCTTCAAACACAAAGAAGTAATTCGAATTCAGTTCACTTTCGAGTGTGTTTTTAGTTGCAGGGGCAAATCCAAGTTAGTTAGCTCCGTTCTACACTCGTGCGTTGGGAGTGAATGTATTTTATTTATTCCTGAAGAGGATACGAAGTAAGAAAAATAAACATTATATTCAGGAAAATAATTCATGCCAACTGAATAGAATTTGCCCCTACACATAAAATCAAAGTGATTTAAAAATGTAATAATGTAAAAATCTGATCTAAAACTTCCATCCTGAATGCGTACAGAAATAATATCATTATGGGTCAAACTGACCCGACGTCCAGCATCCGCGTGAATATTATACATAAACAGTCCGTAGCCCGAAGGTGACTCTTGGTGAAGGTTCACGGGCTGTAGCCCCTAAAGTCCATGCCTTAATCCAGCCCTGACTACACTGTACCTTCTCCTATCCCTGGTGCTCGTCTTCACCGTCGTTGACATTCTGATTGACGCGTCCGGGTGGTTTTCAATTCTGAGAACTAGAGCGCCTTCAGCAAGGCGATCAAACCCATCATCCAAACTGCACTCTGCTTCTGGATCCCCGAGGATGCAGCGATGATCCTGTCCGACTCGGTCCACTCCTCGTCTGAGCCGTCCAGGCACTCGAACTCGCAGCAACGTTCGCCAACTCGAAACCTCTTGCATTTCTGTGACAGAAGATCGATTGTCGGTCAATTACCATGGAACGACGCTCCAGCGTTTGGGAATCCAGGCCACGCGGAACGGAAAGATGATAGAAGGTCGGGATAGAGTAGCAAACGAACCAGACGTTCGAGACAACCGATTCTTTTTCACTTTGAGAGTTCCATTCTCTGGAGGATAATTTCCAAGAAATTGGTTTTAACGATTCCTAACGAATTCGCGTCGCTTTTATAGAAGTAATTAAGGGGCTTAAAGTCGTCAAGGGTGTTCCTGGGCTTGACGCGTTGCATCCAAAGGCGGTTAAACATGAGATGAGTAGACGATTCTTTTTGGCAGCCTTGGAATAAAATTGGTTTCAGAGGTATTTAGTTTTCGAGTGCATCGTGTGTTTGATTGATTATAAATACTATCTGCCACAGCGATGTAAACCAAAATGCAAGAAGATACAACCAGAAAGTTCAGGGCTGATACTCGTAACGATTACAGAGTTACCATCGCAGTTCATCTTTTCTAACATTCACTCACTATTATATAACTGCTTTTAAAGACAGAATGGGTATAACAGAATGTTTTATTCATGTCACAATCTGAAGTAACCACTTTTCGAAAAGAAGGAAGTTTCGGCTCCCAATATTCATCAAGTCACCTTCGTTAATTTTAAGCCTCGGGGCGTATCCCAACATTCCAAAGCCACTGTACAAGCATCTTATATAATCAATCGTATCAGTGCGCGCGTCATTCATCTGTACTCGATGTATTATCAAGGAGGCGAAATATCGATGTCGAGCTGCGCATTCAGGAGAATATTTTCAGACCGTCGCGTCGGGTCCTTAGAAGAAAACTCGAGTAGCAACACATCCATGCACACACATACACATGTTGACACCTATGAATCCTTGGCTCGAAGCCTGCACTTCGCCTTATGCCAACTCTGTACTGAGACAGATCTCTCGATTGCGGCTGGCAGGATTGTCCGTACGTGCAAGACGAAATAAAAATATATGGAACATACAAATATTTAATATTTAAATATTTAATTTCATTAACAAATACACAAACCAAGAGTGTAGCCCGTCCCAAAAACGACTCGATGCTGCGTCTGCTATTGCTGCAGTCCGCACAATTCATCCGCAGTGGCCTCGTATCTTATTGAGCATTTAATCGTGGGCAACTATGCGAAATTATTTAAAAGTTCATTCCTGTTCGCGGGAGAAACGATAGAATACGTATAGAGCTACAGAAAAAAAAATGTGAATAGGCTACGATGAAACGTGCCTCGCTGCCAAAAAGTTTGAAATACATTCGCATTGTCCATTAGGCACAAAGCCACAGTGGCTAGGATTTATGAGCTTTTTCCAAATTAAAAACGAGCGTGTCTTACTTGTATTTAATAAAGAGAGTATTTTTAGTGAAAATATTCGTTTGAAACTATTGTAAGATTCGAGCATCCTTGAGTCGACGGGCACACAACTGCCAGTTCCATCGTTTCTTGTAAACGGTAGAAAGATATTGTAATTGCCCAAGATTAGCATAAAACTCGTCGCATGCAGGGCTATTGGCCTGGATATCGTGCAACGGGAACAACACGCGTACTACGTGATTCGGAGGCGTTTAAGCGGAAGTTAAACGATTGCTCCCAACCAAGATTACGATCAAACCCTACCTTGTACTTGCAGAGAAATCTGTGTCATTTTCTCTTTTCAAACATTGTAAAGTAAAAGGGAACGTAGTGTTTCTACGACTTTTTTTTAGAGTAAAATAAATTAAAAATCCTTCTCATATTTAACATACTAACAGCCACGTCGTAACTCGCGTTAAAGTGGTTTGCTTTCTACGTGATATCCCCTGAACCAAGTTGATTGTTTTCGATACAGCGACGCTCGAATAGGTACAAATTAACTCTATGATTTTCTACCGGAAGGAAGGATCAATTTCATGCAGATGTTGGAAAGCTTGGCGCCTGGACGGAAGCTCAGAAAGCACGCCAGGTTATGACAGCACAAAGTCCCGCGGGTAAAAAAATCTCGTTAAGTGACTTGACGATGTCATGGTAAGTGAAAATTCAATAAAGCGATTACTAACCATATTACCAGCGACGGCAATCGCGTTACGTCGATTCGTAAATAAGTTAGTTTCCTGCTTACAGAAACATTCGTGAAAACGCTACACCTACTTAGCCACGGAAGCGTCTTTAATTGGCCCCTCAAGGAAAATAATCTTTAACCTTAGGCGGCTGTTTACGTTTCAACCAGGCGAATTCCTGACCGTAACTAACAAAGCATCGACGAAAGTTAAAGTTACACTTGTTTCGAGTACACAAATAAACTACGCGTTATTATTATCTTTATAGAGTTTAGAAAACGCCACGATACCTGTAATTGAATCATTGTTGAATTGCTGCGTTAATTCACACAAACAAGCTTCCATCGTTGAATTCTACCATAATAATTCTAATCAAATTTCGAAATCGAATACTTCACAGTCCGAACCGTAGTTTTGCGTTTCCAATTAACGTTTGCTACCAAATTAAAACGCTCGACTTTCACACCCTTTCCAACGTCACAAACTCTAAACTTCATTTACCCGTTTTCAGTCTAGGGCTTGTTCTCTGAAAGCCTTTCATGTCAGACAGTTGCAAGGGCAAATTTACGTTTACCACACGATTAAAACGGAAATCGACCAAACGCTGTTAAAAAAAAAAAAATTACGGGATCGGATGAAAATGCGCGTTGTACCCTGGATATTCATTGCGTGACGTTCGCGAGATTGCTGGGATTTAAAGTCACACAGGGGAAATCCGAACGGCTTGTACTTTGCACACTTTCCATTTTTGTAGTCTGAATAGTATAAATAAGCTTCGAGTATTTGATTATCTGTAGTCAAATAATACTGTAAAAAGAAATTTGTACATTTACCTACATCAGTAGGCGTCGAAAAAAGCACAAGATGAAAATAAAATGCTCTTATTAAGAATCCAAGTTTTCGTGAAACGCTTGTGCATTTTAAATTGTACTCGGACGAAAAGGAAAACGGCCTCTTTGATAAAAATAACTCGATTCGTAGTTAGGTTAAAGTTTTCTTGGAAATCGATATACGGTAATCTTGCTATCAAATTTTCCATCTAAAGTGTCGCCCGCACGCGTGGATTTTGCATTTCAATTTTCCCGTCCGTATTTCACGCGAATCGATCGAACGAATCGGTTCGTGCGGAAGGAATGCGAATTGAAATATACATATTCCCCTAAGTAACCAGTATTCTATGTTGCGATTGAATTTTGACTTTCGTGTAATTCAGCTTGGAGATTCGTAGCTTGGTTTTTCCTCGACACTTCGAGACTTTATGCGGGCCGTCTTTGGTAAAGCTTCTTGATCTACGACCGATTTACAAACCACCTAGCATGACATGAAAACATCGACTCTACTTATCTTTAAAATCCCACTTCATCTATCAAGCTTTTTACTTACATCGTGATAAACTTATCTTTCGAAAAAAAAGACGTTACGTGGGTAGTAATATCTAGGGCATAAAGTACGCCCCCTTTGTAGTGCGAGGGTTGACATTATAGACTCCACGAGTCGAAACAGTTTCAGGAAGCAATGTCAACTGAATTTGTCTTAACCGCCTCAGGCAAAATTGGCGTTGACTAACGTCTTCTTCCGTTTTCCATGACGCAGTGATTTAAGTTTCCTCCAGGAATCAATTACCTCTCACAGGAAATTATATTATCGCTCGAACGTTTTCGAATTATAACGATTATTCTCGACCGTTTCCGTTTCTGGCAATTCCATTCAATCGTATACTACGGAATTCCATCGATACGCGTGCTGTTTCAGCGAATCCTTACGTATTACCCCGAAAAATATTGTAACGCGTTAGAAGATTAGGCCACTTTTGACAAAGGGAAGGTTCTCGCAAGGTTTCGGTGGTGTAAAAATTGAAAGAAGCTTCGCCACGGTCACCAGGGAAAACACGTTGGGTCGAGTGGACTCTTTAATTCGGGATTTAATTAAAATTATCCGGCAATTTCACGGGCCGCGGGGTTGGAGACGTCGTGGGTTCGAGGACAAGACGTTCTCGCCCCCTTTGGTTCGTACGAGTGACGAGTAATTGACCCGTTAATTCGGTGATATTTTCCCGACGATTCAACGACGACCCGGGCAGTCGAGAATCCGTAATTCTCATCCGCGGAAAGCGAGCTCATTAAAATCATTTACACCGGTCGCATCCGTGTCGCGTAATCGATTCCGTGCGCCTCGATGCGGCTCAATTTCGTCACGCTTGAAATAACATTTCTCTTTTTCCCAACGACCCATATGCAGCCCCGTTCATTAGTTCCCGAGCGTATTTCGACGAATAATAAGTGAATAGAGGCGAGAGGGAATACGGAAAATGGAAAAGTTCAGGCTCGAACATTTCTCGCTCCAGCATCGAACCTCGATCATCGTCGGTTGAATTATTTCTCTCAGCCATAATACGCAAGGTGTCGTGTAAATTGGTGGCGAAAGCGGTAGGGTGTATTTTACTAAATGGATCGCGAAGTTTACAGTTTAAAAAACTCGGTTGACACGTGAGATAATAGCGAGTGAATGGAATATAAAAGGAAGGTAGATGTAAATAATAAATGGGTAACCCAGTTCTAGTTACAGGTGTATATCGATCTTCTTAATAACTTCGGCACTCCAATTATTAGGAAATATTCTCGCAAACGGATCTTCAAGGAAACGAAGATTTCTTTGTAGAGAGTGATTCGTGAAACTAGATTCACTTCGAGAACTCTGTAAATAAACTCCGATGTAAATCAATTGGAATAGCATGAGACGATGCTTCGTAACTTTTAATGAACCTGTGAGTAAAGTTAAAAAACACCCTTTTCTTAAATAGACGTAGTTCTCCATTGAATCTATTTCATACGATTTAATAAAAGACCTTTGGAACCTTTCGGGACCTTTTGGAAAATTTGTTGGATTGCTCCTAGGAACATCCTGCACGTTATTCGTTATTCAGTCCACGGTTCAATGTACATCAAGAGAACAAGATACTCTTTCAGAAACGCTCGATTCAAGAGGAGTCCGAAACTTGAGCTAGAAACGTGGGACATGAAAATACTTTGGTACCTCGCTTTCAGCAGATAAAAACATTTGGAAAGAGAAGTGGAAGAGGGTGGAGGTGTAACGCTTGCTACAATGGGCGTACTTACGTAGGGTGGCGTGCAGTAGATAGCTTTACACCACATTGGCTCCGAATGATAGCAAACACAGAGACTGCAAACCGCAGGTCCTGGCACATAGAGGAGACCGTGTTTAACCGTTTCACCCAGGAAGTCAGTGCAGTTTTCCCACAAGGCGCCTGAAACGAGTCTCCCCTGAATACCAGTCTTAAACGATCGTCCGTGATGTAATTGCAAAGGCCACAGTATGTCAAACTTTTATTCGCGTTCTCTGCATTGCAGCTGCACAGCCGTGCTAAGTGCACCAAGCATGACATCCTTTAAAAATTGTTCTCTGTTCGCGAAGAGTTTAAGTCTATATCAGAAAAGTCTAAGTCTAGGTTAGCGAAAGTAATTCAGTAACAATTATTGAACTACAACTATCGTGCAAATGCGTACAAGTATACTGCAACACTCGCGTAATCTTGCACCCTCTAATTTCGTTTCCCCATCGATCGGTTCTACTCACTTGTTCTGGAAGGAAGCAGGAGAACAGCGAACAGGCAGAAAATCCAGGCGAGGATCCTCGAGTGGAGGCTCGAAGATATCTTCATGGTCCTCGATTGTCGTCGGGAAAGGACGAAGCTGCCGAGTGATTCCCAGCCGCTGTGAATCGACGAGCACCGACTATTCCACCAAGCTCCGTCCACGCACTGCAGCCAGGAGCATGTTATCTGTCCGACAGAAATCAGAATAACACGTTCTCCTCATCGTTGGATCAATTTCGCGTGGGATTCTCGTGATTGATCCTAACGCGGGATAATGGTCGCGCGCGACCTTAACCGACTCGATTGCCCCAAAATGCCTCCAATCATCGCTGGGGGTTTCTGGATAAGCTCAAACACTTTGAGAATGCAACAGTTTTTGGAACATTTTTTGACACGTGGCTAAATGACTGGAAATTTGTGTATTATTCGATAATTCGTGTTAATTAATTTTTATTTCTAGAAGCTCGAACGTGACTTGATACTTTTGGAAAAGTTTGTAAAAATCGTTGTGAAAGAGTTCGCCAAAAAAATGTTCACCTGAATTGAAAAAAATAGTAAGAAATGCGTGCAAACAATAAGTGTGGAAACCAGCGATAAAAAGACACTCGCGTAATAAACCCATGCGATCCGTAGAATCCATGTCGCAACCCTCGACGAGATCGCTTCGAGGGGATGGAAACAAGTTCCCTAGGGCGACTTCCTCGGAAGTCTTTTACTTGATAACTGGCGAACAAAGTAGCAGAAAAATTGTGCGTTTATCTTTCAAGTACCAGCGTTCCGTTACCTCGCGTCTGCTTTCTTGAATCGTTTACTAGCGCCGGGGGTTCGCTGTGCTTCCCTAATATCATTCTGCATCTTTTACGCGAGGGCGGGAGCTCGTTTAACGTGTCCACGAGAATCGTGCCGAGACGACCATCATAAACATCTCATTTTCGTTTCCATTTTCTCTGGCAATTAATCTGTGAAAGTGCAAGCTGCCTCCGAACCATCCCAGTGTTCCCACCACGCTTGAAAGCGTATTTTGTGACTTTAATTACTAGTCGTTTAAAACTCAACATTATTCGTAATTTTAAAGATGAGCTGTGATTGCATTGAGCACATCTATAGTAGTTTCAGATCTTGCATTTACTACAAAAGATTCAACGCCTCAACATTGGAAACGTGGCAAATAAAATGTTTGAAATGGCTCGTGTTCCTCGTGCATGCACCCCGCTTTGTTTTTTACTACAGCGAATAGAGTAATTAAAAGAAGAATGTCACTTTAATCATCGTTTCACTGAAATGCTGCTAGCGTACGCCATTCTCGGTAACGAGGCCATCTCGTTCTAAAAATAATGCAAACAGCTAATATTGGACGTTCAGTTCGCATTTAAATATTCCATTAAATTAGTTGTTGTCTACTTGCTAGTCGGCCGACGGTGGACTGTAGCAATGACTGCTTGTTCAATTATTTTGCCCGGTGCACGCCATTCCCAAACGCGTCATAACTGATGCGCGCACGCGACGCTATGAAAACAAATGGCAACATTTTGTTTGAATGACTTTTCAGGGACACTGGCAGCTACGGGCGCGTTATTTTTATTTGTAATTTCAATTTTCCACATCGAACAAGAGGGTTGAAATCTGTTGGAGAAGTATTCCATTTTGAAATGACAAATTTTCGTGGCAGTGAGGATTCGAAGAAATATCCAACAAAAATAAAGCTTGCTTGTAAAACCAGAGTGGGCAAATGCTAGTTGCGAGTATATGCGCTCGCATACTTGGTGGAAGGAATGCAGAGGAGTACTCGTGGCATACTCAAGTGGTACGTAAAGCAATACCACGAGGGTGGCTTTCGCTTTGCGAAATACCGGATGTATTTGCAAATCGTCAAACGTATTCTTTGACACATATTACGGTATCACACATTAATTTGAACTAAAAACAAATGTCAATAATTGGTAGAAGTTTTAAAATTCTTGTAATATAATATTACAGATGTAATTATACTTTTTGTAGTAAGAATGGTACCACTTTGAGTGTAGTTTCGGTTTCATTTGTTTTTCCCATAAGGTTTTTGTGCAACCGCGAACGTCGGCGTCGTGCGCAAACCTGCGTACTGCCACCTCTTTAAAACTCGTCTCTTTTTTTCTGTGTTGAGCAAAACCGTTACCGCGACAACGAGAGCACGGAAATAGGCGTGCTGGCAATTCTGTAACGCGGTGACGCGTTTCAGAGAATCAAACTCGTTAGAAAAGCCTCCACATTTTTCTTATCATTTTCCCTCTCCCCCATTTTTAAAGTGAAACTTTTCATGACGACACCGACATAGTAGGGATACCAAAAACTGCTGTACACCCAGTTTCATCCAAATCCAGTCACTTTTCACATTTTGATCCGCTATATCGGATTCGCCATTTTGGATTTCTAAATTTTTAGTTCGGATTTGGAATCAACGACCTCAAAAACCCCTTTATACCAAGTTTCATCCAAATCGAATCACTTTTCCATACTTTGGTCCGCCATATCGGATCCGCCATTTTGAATTTGTAAATTTTTAATTCGGATTTGGAATCAGCGATCCCAAAAACCGTTGTGTACCAAGTTTTATCCGAATCGGTCGAAAGGAAAAATAGATACTTTCGTATATCTCGTAAAGAACTTGGAAAGGTTTTCCTGTCAGGAAATACTACAATGTTTACTATTATTTCTCGGAATTTAGAGAGGTGTTCCTTCCAGGAAATACTCCAGTGTTTACTACTATTCTCGGAATTACATAGACCTTGCAAGGACGCTGTAGGCCGCTGCGTCTGTCAGTCATTTATAATTGTCGAAAACAAGAAACTTTGAGGTGGCATAACTCAGCGAGGAATCGTCCGATTTGATTCTAACAAAATGCAAATTGAAGAGCGTAATTTCTACTTTCTAATAGATCGTTATAATTATTGTTAAATACTCTTAAACAATTGTTTTTTTATCCAGAAGACTCGTTGCTTGACCAAAGAGAATTTTCTCTCCACCTCTTTGCTCGTTCTTGTACGCTTCTTACTCGATAAGTATACGTTGTAATATCGGAAAAGTAGGCTCTTAGATTATTTTCCAACGAAATTACATTTCAGATGCAGATATCGTTTTAGCACATTAGGAAGGTTGAATGAAATATGGCTCGCACGAAACGAAGGCACGATACGAATACACGACATACATATGTTTTCCTACTGCAGCGAACGTGGTAATGAGTTCTCGAATACTGACATTTATTCCCACAATGTAAGATACATTCCAAGAGACCAATTAAATTTTCTACAAACGGTCAGAATCTCGCAAAGACGTCGGGGAAGAAAACGTTGCGAATGAAATCTTAAAATCGACAACGATAATTGGAATTTAAACCTGAAATTCCTCTATTCTTGCTATGAAAGTTGTTCCATTGCTAAGCTGTTAAAGCCGACAACTCTAATTGGAATTTAAACCTGAAATTTCCTTATCGTTGCACGTTGCAAGATTAACAAAATTTTCTAATTTACCAAGAAGAGTTTGTGTTACTTTTTTATACAGTTGCAATCAATGCTGAACACATTCTGGATTCTGAACTCCGTTTGTAGCACTTGTATGTACAACTTGTCCAAGTCGTATTTGCTGCGTCGACATTTACGTAACCCAGTGAACCGTTTGGTTTCGCGAAAATACTTGTAAAACCGTCGTTGATACCATTGAACAACTGTAATACTTTGGCACGGATGTTAACGCGATATTGCACGCGAACCTCGGGATTATTGTTTGCCAAGTCTCCTATATCCGCAAATACTTCTGGTCATGATAAATTCCTCATATTTTTTACATTAACCGCACAATGTGCAATTGTACAGATTTACATCGACTTAAAAGCGTCAAAACGTTCAACGAAAGACCAAAAAAATCAACAAAAGTCCAACAAAATTATCTAAACTCCACATCCCAGACTCAATTTCCTGTAAAACCAATCGAAGCTACGCTAACATCTTCTCGATTAATCGATGACAAGAATACTTACTATACAGCCTATTTTTGCGTCAATAAGAAAAAAGTCTATTCTAACATCGACACGTTATTTTAAGTCCTCGCATATCCACTTTCCTGAACAATGGTCGATCAGCAACCTCGATTTATTTATACACTGTGTGTAGTATGCTGAGCAAAGTTTACTTTGTAGGAAAGATAATTAAATATTATTGGCGATGGAGTACTTGGAATATTGCCTTATTCGCCCAAAACTTCGAGGACTTGCATCTTTAAAATATTCACCATACTAAAACAACCATGACGCGAACCACCCTTAATTTCAAGTAGACTACAGGATAATCCAATGTCACAAAAATCCCCCGCATAGAAGTTCAAACGTGATCGATTCGCCGTAGAAATAGCTTGTGCAGCAACTGAAAAACCACAACAGGAATGTATTTTCGTGTCTACTAAATAATTTTGTCCACGGAACGTTGCACGAACCGTCATCCTACTTTGCGAAGAGAGCAAACTCCGCGAAGTTGATGAACTGCCATCGGGCACACTTTAAAATTCCCCGCGGAATGAGAACTCGCTCGAAATTGCCATCGATCGCTGATCCATCGTCTGATTAAAAAATGGAATTACACGCCCACACAAATGCAAAGCGTAAACCCAAACACGCGCGTGTATCTACATACAGAGGCTCGCGCGAGCAGGCCTTTGAACTTGCAAGGATGTTTGCTGTTTCTACACCAGCCTAATACCATGGCGAACTGCACGTTGGGTCGCGTGATTGCCACCGCCTCCTCTATTATTTACGCGTCACACATTCGCCAGAACGCGGCTACAGTCGATCAACATTGTTTCACGTGCTTTCGATAGTGAGAAACTTAATACGCGGAGTGTATCGTTCGGAGAACCGACGTAATTATGTATCTATATTAGTCAAAACAATGTTTTGCAATTTGAGCAACGTCACCCTCTTTGCATCTGGATTCAATGATGATTGCTTTCATTTTTTTAATTCATATTGCGAGAATTAATGTTTCATTAAGGCTTCAAATCGATGAAATTCAATTAAAATATGAAAAGGTCGCGTCTTTCAACCGAAGAGCTATGCTTGAATACCAAAAAGATTTTTAGTACTGAAACGTCCCGTTCATTTGATATTGACGTCAAAGCTGATCCAATTCGACCTTAAATTGTAACAGTGGATGGAAATTTTTCGTTAATAAAGCTAAGTTCCTACTTTTCTAAATTTCAACTTTTTACACGCACGTGGCACATACTGTTGCAAATGTAATAAGTAGGATTTCATTATTCCTGATTTGTCAAGTACCAAGGTTGAGTCTCGTTCGATATCGTACGCCGAAACATTGAATGCGTGACGCCTGCGGAAACAAGCCACACCACAGCCATTAATTACTTCTGGCTATTATTATTTAATTAACAAGTCGAACCGTTACGGTAATTGCTGGATTCGAAGAGCAAAGTTGAAAATACGCCCCAGTAATGATTGCACGATTTAACGAGGAACTCTTGAACCGTATAAATATCTCTCGATCAAATTGTCAAATATTTTAGGCATTTCGGCCGCTTCGAAATGAAGATCGTGAAAATAAGTGCGTCACATAAAATGTCATTTACAAACTTTTGCGACGATGAAATTTTGATACGCTGCGCGTTATACCCCTCTAGTAGAGTGTAGTTTGAGCAGAAAGTCAATAAGTATATCTTGACATGGTAAACTTTGTAGATTTATAGCTCGGCTTATAAACGTGATCGTACGTGCATAGCAAGATTTCGCAATAAGGACGATGAAAAAGTAGAGCAAGCATATGCTACCCAAACAAATCTTCAACATTGCAAAACCTTTGAAGTGAATTAAAAGAAAAAGAAAAATCAATTGCATTATATTAGAAACGGACAGAAAAACTAAAAATATCGTTCAGTTAGCTCAAATTAAATGAGACACTTTTACAAGCAGTTGCCACGTCTGACATATACTACACTGTATCCCTGAATCTCGGCTGCCACCTAGTGATCAAGGTCAATCATTCAACGACGTTAATCCAGTCTGGCGACAAGGGACAAATAAAACATCTTATTGAAACAGCAATTGCATTTTAACCATCCATGAAACTAGTTCAACATAAACTAATAAATAATGTATAACTAAGTTTTGTCTAATTTTAAATAAGTATCGATCGAATAGACTCCAATAGAAGATCTAATTAAAATTAGAAAAAAGTTAGTAATGGAAAGAGCTTAACGATGCAACAAAGTTTGTCTAGAATCTTACTTTTCTCATAATCGAGACCATATTCCAGCAAAATGAAATCAATTGCGATTGATTTGTTTACAAAAATAACTACTTGGATAACATATTGCATACTTAGTAATAAATGAAGTATATAAACAAACACAAGTTTCAACTTTATTCGTGTAACATGTTAATTAATAGTATTTACACAAGAACTTGATACTTCTTTGTAGATTAAAATCCAAAATAGGGATGATCGAACGTAACGTTTATCCCAAAAATGATTGAAAAATTATCTCTCCCAGCGATCTGCCAATTGCTTTCCTAAAATAAATTTCCTCGTTAGCAGATTGAATTTTCAATACTTTTTGTTGCTGTGCACGTCTCGTTGATCCCATTCCTTTCCACTCGACGCTCGCGAACATACGCGCTGTCGACAGCAACAAAACTATATCGCACACCCCACCCCCAATCCCGCAACTAAACAAATAAATTTAAAAAAAAAACCATAGGGACATAACAAAAATTAATTATTATTTCTTTTTCTCTTCAAGTATGGCAATTAGTGTTTTTGTGTGTTTCTTTAATCTATCGATTAATCTTCCTTTTAATATTATTTCTAACTATATTATTTTTAATATTGTCTTTGCTTTTACATCAATAAAAATTCTTTTTATAAATATAACATTTCATTGATAATTATGAATTCTACTTTCGTCCTTACTTCAGACATTAAATATAAATTGAATAATTCATGCTCAAACAATAAACAAGAGCCTGAATGTTAAGTTAACGGGTGTAACAGAAACCAAGAACTTACATAAAAGTGTCAAAAAAACAACCAAAAATCACACAAATTAATTTCAACATGTCGCTAAAAGTATTTGTCCACCGAATGGTAGACGAATGACTTGTTTCTCTTTTAAATAATCAACAAATAAAAGAAAATTGATAATTTCGATATCTGTACCATAGTAAATGAACTACAAATCGTGTGTTTAATTCAAAAGAGATCTCGTAGAGAGAGGATGCTAAAGTTACCTGTAAGGTGCATCACGCTAACTCCTCCATCCCTCGTGTTGGGAGCCCATGTGTCCTGGAGCAACTGAGAGAGAGACAGACCTTTCGCGCGCGGAAAATCGCGAAACGAAACAATCTCGCGTCTCGTTTTCGATGAACAGAGACACAAGGATGTTAGGCACAAGCTCCGACGACGCAATCGTTGCGATAAACGACGATCGTGGATCGGCTGTCACAAGAGGGTTCGCGAGGAACGATAAGCGACAGAGCGCGAATCGTCCCGACTCGACTCGGCGCGCTCGATGGCCAAACAGCGACTGAAGTGAACTCTGTCGCAGTGTGAGGCCACGGGCCGCGTTCGTGGGTCGATCGAACACGTTCTGCGCCTCTCCTCGGCACCGGCGTCACCCTGACGGCCCCAACGCACCGGTGCAGCCGATGCACTTGCAACTACTGAGCTACTGACCACTTCCCCGTCGAAAGTCACGGCAAAGAAACTCCAATGCTCGGTGTAGGAAGCCTCCGAAAATTTCGAAATTCTTTGGATTCGATAACGCTAGAATAGTCCTAATTTTGACCAGAAAGTCCAAGCTGACCACTTCTCCATAGAAAGTCACGGGTCTCTAATGTTCGGCGTAGAGAAGCTCCGAAAATATCGAAATGCTTTGGGTTAAGTAACGCTAGGCAGAAAGAGACACTCGAGACTAATTGATTTCGTAGATTTTGTTTGTGTGCGGTGTTCTGCAGAGTTCTTCAACGACCTCGATGAAGACTTCATTGAAGCTCTGACTCTTGCATAAGAGGATTAATGTATCTTAGAGGTGAGCATCTTCGTTAGTTGTAGTGGATAACAGTCTCGCAACATAAACACCTTTAAGCGAGATCTTTTTACGTTACGAATAAACTGCTTTCAGCTTTTGTTTCGCTTTCCTACCTGTCATGGAAGATGTATGTATAATAGAGGAGAGGCATACTATCGGTCAATATTTGACAACCACACGGGTTTTTAATATTCTTCGATTTTTTCGAGTGCCTTCAGTCAGAAACGCAGCAGAATCAACGAAAGGAAGATATATTGTTTTATCGTTCCTAAGCGTAATTTATAAAAGAAAAAACCTAAAATAAAAACGAAGTGAACGCCTAGAAAATTAAACATCTAGTTAAGAAAGTAAAAAGTAAATAAATAAGTGCAGATTCCAATTAGCAAATAATAATCATTCACTTCGAAGTAAACGAATTGAGACAGGAAATAGAACAATTCGCCATGCAATTTGCTTCGTTCTTTCAATGGCACGAAAAACAATAAAACGAAGAAGTCACGTAGGACACCGTGGCAATATAATTTAATTCCTTGCTAAGGAAGAAAATACGAACAATAAATGCGTTACGAGCGTTAAAGTTTTTAATTGCGATCGAACTCTTTACAGGTGAAATTTTCTGCCGCTTCGATTGCTACGTACGTTTTATGACGACACAAAAAAAAAGTTCGATACCGATGTTGAATTACCTTCGACGATTCCGTTCTTGGACGGTCTGCGAGCGAAGGGAAGCAATTTTGTCAAACTACGGCTCGAAGGAATATAAATCAAAACTGATTGGGAAATGGAGTCGCACTGTTCTCGCTTCGGTTTCCTCGATTACATTTATTTTAAACTCAGCTCCTATTATATCTAAAATTGACGTAAGCGCTTTTGGGAAACGGGTCAAAGTCGATGGAAGTTTGAAAAATTTCACCGTTGATTGCTATTAATGGATTTCGAATTGAGTTCCGTTCATCGAAAGGCTTCTAAATAAAAGTAGAAGCTCAATTTTTCGGTAGAAAAGTACAAAGCATCGTTGCACATAATACAGTTGTATTATTAATTTAACAATTAACGAATGTTATACAGTAGAACACAAAGAAGAATTTTGTTATTATTTCTCAAAGTACATGTATATGTTTTCAACTCGTTTATCACTGCTAGCTATTTAAGATCTCTATTATTCTCCATTGTTTCGTAACATTACATTCGACCCGCGTAACACGTAAAGCTGCCTCGCGAAGACTCCAACTTGCACGATTTCACGTTTCTAACCTGCTCCTACAGAACAAACGCTCGCGGTTTATTTAATTAACTGGAATTACTATCGCGAGTAGTCGGACGAATTAAAAATTTACAATTTACGACGGATCTTGCTGCGGATGTTTTTGCGGCAATGCGTAATTTTTATACGGCACCGTTGCTCGTCTATTTTTCAACGAAATATGAATAATTCAGCCAGTTCCACCCGAAATAGGAGCGAAACTTCTCTACCCACGGTGAACTTAATCTCAGGTCACTTTGTGACTTTGGCGTATCGGTAGGTATTTAAAGAAAGGCAAACAATAATAGGTTCAATGACAATTGACAACGTGATATTCGGAAACGTGGACGGATATAGCGTAATCGGTTTCAATCGGTTGCGGCTAATTGGCGGCGACAGTAATAATTCAATATCCGCCCAGGTAATAATTGAGTATTAGTTTAGGTATACGGATCGTATGAAATATTAGCGTCGTTTGCCAGAAACGTATCGAAATTCGATATCAAATCATACTCGATCCATCGTTTAGAAATAGAAACTGCAAGAACAGTTGATGGAATATATAAATTGTTCAAGTTGCGCTTTCCTGCTGATAAACCCTTCGCGATTGATAAAAAATACGTGTCTACGAATTTCTCGCGTTTATATACCTACATGTTCACTTCCAACATTCTGTTTAAATTTATTCTACCTTGGAAGCCAAGAGAACTTTCATCCAAGAGATTCTGAAAAAAAGAACTACAATGATTGTAAATCACGACGGAAAAACAACGTTCGATAATGTTCTGTGACTGGACAAAGTAATGCTCGCGAGCTACAGTAAATTGTGAAAATTGCTACAGCTACTGTCTTGGATACACAGATGACAAATACCGCAGAATGTCAAGGTTAGATGGAAGCTAGCCAATCCGCCAGAAAGGCACCGCAAAGGTTTCAGAATTTTAAGATTCTGAGATGAAGAGGTTCCGCGAATGGTTCTTGAAACGCGATCTTCCTCTTATCGGTTTCTAATATCGTCACGACGAGATATTTGTTTTCGTCGCCGAGGCTCGACGATTCGAGGAGCCTTTCGAATTTCATAATAAAACGTTCATCTTGCCACTTATCGGCTTAAACGCAGTTTAAGGAATCCATCGTGAGGGTTTACTAACGAACATGGTACTTATGGGACTGACTGTATTTTCATTAAATACCACGAACAATATCTCAAATAATGAATACCATTTTATTTCACCTTTTTGGGGCGCCATCGAGAGCGGAACAGGAACTCTGATGGGACCATTGTTTCTTACGTCGTCTTTGACCGAGGTTCTCGTATGGAGATCATCTATCTTCGCGTTCGTCTTCCGTAATATCGTTTCCAGGTGTCCAGAAAAGCCCGAGGGAACCGAAGACTCTCGTAACGTCCCACGGAGAAGAGTATCCGGAGGCTAGTTGCAGCGACGAACAGTTTAAAATATCCAAGGACGACGAATCCGCGAAGAACAGAGCGAGCGTGGAACAGAAGGAATGCGTTAAGTCTCACGCGAGGACAAAGAGGAACGGAAACTACGATGATAAAACATTTGGGAAAAGTCTGCTGACCGTGAACAATGGGGAAACCAGAAGCGTTCCCGTTTCCTTTGATAATAATCTCGAAGGGAACGGTATAGACAGATGGAACACAAGGAAATGGAAACCTCTGATAGAACTGCTGCTGCTGCAATATGATTTTAAAGCCTTCTTCAGCAGATTCTAGATGAAACTCTGATAATTCAACGTTAGGGAGTATCGTGATCTAAATACTTAACACTAAGAAGCTTTGATATTTAGGTACTAAAAGTGTGCATAGAGCTGCATAGAGCTTTTATTCGCCATGCATTTACTCAAATAAAATTCGATCGATGCGAGAAAACGTAGACTGATCACTGCGAAATTGTCTCAACCGGGCAAATTGGAGTTTTGCCATCTGTGATTGTCGCCGATATTATTGTTCAATTATAGGAACAATCGACGCGAAACGAGCCGCTAGAATGGTCACATTCAAAGTCAATCAACACGCCTGAACGCCGCTCTTCGACTCCTTTTCCGCGATCTTTCACACCGTTTTTCCGCATTCATTTCCAATGCAGCCAAAATCCTTCCGAAACTGTTATTCCAACCCGATTCGCCTTATTCGTATTCTGCATACATAATGGACGTGTGACGAACATCTTCCTCGCTCTTGCTCCTTTTTCCTTCCTCTGTTTGAATAAGGACCTCTTCGACAACGCTGACAATCAGTGCTTAACATGGAAAATAAAGCGTTTAACGATTTAACGTTTGCAAATGTAAACTAACTAAAACAGAAAATTATAATAGAATATTAAAATCATATAACGGGAGGCAATTTGATATTCAATTAACTAAAAACGTTTATTTTGAAAACATGCCTACAGTGGCAAGTTTAATGGCGCGTCTTTTCCTCGCTTCCACGATGCACACTAGACGGGGATCGACGTCGCCAAGCAACGAATCGTTCGTGTTTGTTTCCAACAAGCCTTCGTGCATCGAGTCGTATGAAAATCTTTCTCCATACTCTAGACGACTTAGAGACTGTTAGAGACTGATTAACGACGTTTCGCAGAATTGTTAAACTACAGAACATACTGAACTTCTTTGAGCATCATGAATAACCTGACGTTGAACGGAAGCTCGGAATGCGTTGTTCACAATCTACGGGAAAAGGTAAGAAAAACTATCGCGGAACACCTGCAATACGTACAAAGATAGCATTCGGAGAAGAAATCGTTCGGAAATTGTGTAAAAAATTTAATAATCTAATTGTGAACCAGGACCGGAAACGTGTTCAAGAACGTCGTCGAAACATTATTTACCTTATAAAGGACTATTTGAATAACGAGGGGTGAGTATACTTATATTACAACATTATAATATTACCGATTTCAGCTCGACACAAAACTACAATTTACCATAATATAAAATACAAATTTACTTTCTCTAACGGGAAGTACTAAACTTAAACAAAATATAAACTCGACGCAGATTCGTAAAGTCTGCAGAGACGCTTGAACAAGAAGCCCGCCTATCCATGGACACTCGTGTCTGTGACAATATAGATCTGGAAATGATCCTAATGCAGTACGAAAGTTATTACCACCTGCAATTCAACAAATACCCCATTCTGTGTAAAAAAAGCGAATCGCTCGGTAACGCAAATACATCGTAAGCAAATATTCATTTAATCTATGTACGATACGGTAAAAAATCGAACGTTGTATATTACGTAGAAGAACGTAATGGCAAATTATTTGTACTCCGCAGGGAAAACGTCAGACACGCTAAAAAAAAGAGTAAATCGAAAGAAAAGAACGTGAAAAAAACCGAGTGTGAAAAGATCAGCCAACAGGTGAATTCATCTACCGACGATATCAATTTAGTGGTGAGTGTGAAGTCACTTTTCAACGAGTGTGGCGATCAGGCTCCATTGATGGAGTCTTTCGAGCGATCTTCGTACTCTAAGATATCCAAATCCATCGATGATCTCTATCCAGCAGATTCAGAAATGTCTAAGATAGCCGAAATGATATCCAAAGTAAGTCTAAAGTAACTCAATCAAGGACAGAATTAGGATTAAGGTGGATACGCGAACATGCTTATCGTACTCGTACAGAGTTAATTTCGAAATTGAACTTTGAATTGTTTTTATACAGGAAATCGTGATGACAGATTTGAATGTTCATTGGGACGACGTGAAAGGTCTCGAGAATTGTAAAGCTGCCATACAAGAAGCTGTCGTGTATCCTTTGAAATATCCTGTTTTCTTCAAAGGTAAATTTACCCCTTGGAACGGTGTTCTACTCTATGGACCGCCTGGAACAGGTAAACTGTGGTCAGTTTGTCATTATTACTAAGATGATAAATGAAAAACCTATAGGAAACTTGTAAATAGGTAAAACTATGTTGGCGAAGGCGGTGGCGACAGAGTGCAATTGCACTTTCTTCAACATAACAGCTAGCTCGTTGGTTAGTAAATGGCGAGGCGATTCAGAAAAATACATTCGAGTGAGTTCACTTCTATTATTCTACTGCGTGTTGATATATTTATTGTAATATTAGCTAGCTCTGCAATGAAATGTAGTTCTTAAATATTTCTGCTAAGCAAAATGTTGCTCGTTTGTAATCCAGGACATTTGCCTTTGACTTCATAAATAATTATTTCAATAACTACAAGTTATATCACTTGTCGACCAATGCATAGCGTTAGAATTTAACAGGTTCTTTTTGACCTTGCCTACAAACAATCTCCAACGATTATTTTCATCGATGAAATAGACTGGATAGCATCAACGACGGATAACTCATTATCTGAACCAGCAAGAAGATTTAGAGCTGAACTTCTCGCGAGACTCGATGGAGTAATGTCCATTGAAAATTCAAATATCGTGCTAATGGCTGCTACTAATGTTCCTTGGTGAGTAAAAGTATTTAGAGTATTTAAAAGTATTTTAAAACATTTTAATCTGCCAACTAATTTAGCCAGAAAAATAAATCGGGAATATAACATAAAACTTTGTTATATAATAATTGATTACATAAAAAAGATTAAAACTTATTATCAATTGTTGCATACAGCACCGCTCACTAAACCGCTCAATGAGCAGGTTTAGACCATATACAGGGTGTTCCAAAAGTCGGGGAGGAGCCGGAAATGGGGGGTAGCTGAGACGATTCTGAACAACAATTTCCTTTGCAAAAATGTCGGATGGGGCTTCGTTAAGGAGATATTAAGCGAAAACCCCGACCAATCAGAGCGCGCGTAGACCGTTGGAGCGGCCGCGGTAGCGAAGGTTACGCGCTAGGCGGCATCGTCAATGTCCTTCGATGCACGTCGAGTCACTTGTTCGCGTACAAGCGCGGCCGTCAGCGCGTAACCTTCGCTACCGCGGCCGCTCCAACGGTCTACGCACGCTCTAATTGGTCAGGGTTTTCGCTTAATATCTCTTTAACGAAGCCCCATCCGACATTTTTGCAAAGGAAATTGTTGTTCAGAATCGTGTCAGCTACCCCCCATTTCCGGCTCCTCCCCGACTTTTGGGACATCCTGTATATATATATATATATATATGTGTGTGTATACATATATGTATACACCTCTATTTCATTACTAGTGGCGGCATCGGTGGGAAAACGCTCAAGTTTGTCGTGAAAACAGTTCCCACAGTTTCTATAAGATGGCACCACAAATACATTCTATTAAATTAATCTTTATTTTTCTTAAATGATTAATTAATACGATTCTTTGCTTTATAGCTCTACAATATATTATTTTAATATCAAATTTATCATTGTTATAAATAGTTATTTAATGCAGGAATAATTATCGACAATTTAGTTAGTAGTGGCATCTAAAAACACCAGAATGAACTATTTTCATTACAAACTTGGACGTTTTCCCGGCGATGACGCCACTGGTACTAGTCTTATTTCCCACCTTTTACTATCTACGCGCCACTGGCGCTAAAGTCTGTATCTAATAACTTTAATTAAAAATATATAATAAAAATAACCGATTCGTGACCTTAACCAGAAAATATTTTATATTCTGATCCTCGAGTTTACGTCTATATTTATTTACCTATAATCATCTTGAAAGCACCACTTACTGTCACAATTTTATATTACCAGGAACATAGATGCTGCTTTATTGAGACGCCTGGAAAAAGTCATTTACGTATCGTTACCTGATATGGACACTCGATTAAATATGTTCCGGTATTATGTTTCTAGCAAGACAGATATGCAAGAAATAGTTAATCTGACCAAAGGTTATTCTGGTGCTGATATAAAAATGCTCTGCAAACAAGCGTGGATATGGCAATCAATTCCGACTTGGGAACGTCTTGAAAAGAAAGAAATAACTGTGTTGGATGTGAACTACCAAATATTAAACTGCGATTATTTGATTGAAGCTTTAAAATACGTTAAACCGACAGTTAATAACGATTTAATCTCTCTATACATTAATTGGCGAAAATCTGCAACCAATAAATGCAATCATAATTCCGCTTATCATATAAGAATTAAGTAAAAACAAATAAACGAAAATATTTTTTGAAAATTGTTCAAATTTATTCAAGGACTTACAATTAACAAATAAATGAACACAACGATCGTTTCTAATTCTAATAATGTAATTTTTTATAAAAAATTATATTTGAGTAAAAAACGTTTATACAATTAAGAAGTTTTCCTTTTCTCCTGATTACTTCTTGCTTGTTTCAAACCATGATAATAGCCTGTGTGAAAACCACTGATGTACCATGACATTAACATACTCGAAAGTGCATCTGCATCATTATCTGGAAGCCTGACAAATTTTTTTTATTAAAATTACATGTAATTATCTACTTGGAATTTCTTATCACATCAATTTTGTGCTTACTTAGCCATCAATTGAGGTGGTAAGGGAGGGGCAGGTGGCATCATATCTGTTATTGAATTAAAAGATGTTTCAGGCATGGTATAATGCTTATTTAGTTTTATTTCTTCTGATTCATAATCCATCTTTTCTCTATTACATTTCTTTGAGTTTGCATGTGCAGAAAAATTTGTCTCATCTGTTTCTGTGTTTTCTCCATTAAATTCTTCTTCCCTCAAAGCATCTTTTTGCTGAGCTATCTGACTTTGCAAACCTTTAGACTCTAAAAGAGAGTTTAATTCTACCTTTTCTGTATTACCATATCCTGAAAGTAGAAATAATTTAGATTGTTTCGGTAAAGGTTTGTTTGGTAATTTTGCCACTAAATTCTTTATGCCAATTTCGTTAAAATTAATCACTTTTGAAACATTACCTATAAATTTCACGATACAAGTCCCAGCATTTTCAAAGACTTTTGATATTATAGCTTCATAAAGTTTTCCATCCTCAAAATATACTGCACGACAGGGTGCCCCAACAATCCACTTCTATGCATACAAAATACACGTGCAAATTACTATTAAAACTGGTAAAGTAATCAGAATAGTTTTAAGTTCTTCTGGTATTATAAAATCGTAACCTTGTATGGTTTATTTGTATCTCTAGATTGTTTAAAATTCTGTGACTTTTGTTTGGATTGAGAATTTTGAATTTCCATGCCCATTTGCTTTGCAACTTCGTCCTTCGCCAAATTCACTGCTTTGTCGTATGCTTTTATTAACGCACTGTCGTCCCAAATATCTTCATTATCTGTACTCGTAACCTTAGAAAGACAAACAGGTATTGTGCAATGCATTCAAACTTATTCTACTTTTCAAGGAAGCATTTATTTTTATAAATAATTGCAATGCTTTTCGTATCATATATGTAAACAATAACTCCAACGTTAATTTTACACGAGTTTCAAAGAAACTATAACCTCTATCCAGTATTAAAAACAAGTACCATACATTTCGGTTTCCGCGGACAAAAAGTACATTATCTTCTGCCATTTTATCGAAAGAATTTCATCCGAATATTAAATTTATTTTCAAAAAATGATTGTGTTACATCTCTTCAAGAGTGACAACTGGTGACAACTATAAACAGTGGTTACAACAAAATCGATGACAACTAGAAGGGCAAAAACATACGTGAAAATTTTTACGAGTTACTAGACATAAATATAGAAAATGTTATAAATTCCATACAGAATAGCATAAGCCAGAAGGGTTGCTCCTTAAAATATAATTCATTAAATAGCATCATACAAATTTTTGTATTAATAATCTACTAGTAAACAAAAGTTTTTGTTTATAGACCGCCATCTAACGGTCTACATGGAACTAATAAAAAATGATGACTAGCGCCATCGGTGGGAAAACCCCCAAGTTTGTCGTGAAAATAGTTCCCACAGTTTCTACAAGATGGCGCTACAAATACATTTATTAAATTGTTCCTTATTTTTCTTAAATGATTAATTAATACGATCCTTTGCTTTATAACACTACAAAAATACTTTGCTCTTTTTGAAATCTTTGATGTTGTACGTAGCCCTCTAACAGCAAACATAAAATCATGTGCCTTTGGCACGTGCTCGGTACACGTCACACGTGTTAGGAAGTATTTCATAATCCACCGTTGAGGGAAGCGCAACAGTGTCGTATTAGAAGAATGTTGTGAAAGTTCTGTACGAAATCCTATTCGATTGACCAATACTTTTCGTGATTATTTCACGGTTTTTGGTTACGTTTATCTAGCGTTTATGGTATTTTGACACACTTCTCCTTTTGACAGTGGAATGGCGTTAGTAAACAAATTTCAAAAGTTATCGAGATCGATTCTCAGCATTGCTTCGAATTATTCAAAATATAAGAGCGATACCGCATTGCCTCCTTTCCTGACAACAACAAGAACCTCGACTACGCAACCACTCTCAGAAAAGCAGGAGTAAGTAATACCATTTATCTTTTGTTTTGTGCATTCATACTCATTGTCAGAAATGGCCAAAGATAAACTACTTTTTTCTGTTACACTTTCAATAAAAATTAGAATTTGTGTAGTGGAGGAAATATATCTACTTCTGAAAAAAGTAAACACAGTTTGGACTTCCTTAATATATTTTTATTTTCAGAGTGAACATAACATTTGTTAAAGCAAGCGGAGAGAGAATTAAAGCGAAAGGAAAAGTTGGAGATTCTATTTTAGACATTGTAGTAAATAACGAGATAGATTTAGATGGGTTTGGTAAGTTCATATAGTTTTAACAATTTTTTTGTCATCAAGATACACAGCTTTTTTATATTGTGCAATTTATGTAGGTGCATGTGAAGGTACATTGACCTGTAGTACCTGTCATTTAATACTTTCGAAAGAAGTATACGATAAGCTGCCTGACAAACCAACAGATGAAGAGTTAGATATGCTGGACCTAGCATATGAATTAACAGACACGTAAGTCAAAAATAGCAAATCAATTTCCAACTATGTGCTTCCATGCAGAATCTAAATTTTTCCTTGGTCAGATCTCATGAAAGTAAGATTGATAAGGTGAATAAATTTTAATAGTTTTCTATTCACAAGGCTACATTTGTTGAAATTCTATTCTTCTACTCTCAAGAAAGGAGGCTTATAGACAAAAACATCTTTTCAAGAAAAATGTATTTAACAATAATTTTGGTATTTAAGATTACTAAAAAATTTCAAGTTTTACATAATGTTCCAATATATTAATTAAAGTAGATGTTATTATCATAAAATTAATTTCAGATCGCGTTTAGGATGCCAGATAATAATGACTAAAGAACTAGATGGAATTGAAGTAAGAGTGCCATCGACACTTAACGACGCGAGAGCGTAGCAAGACTCTGTCTCAACTCTCTAAAAACTTATACAATGATTCTGACGATAGTCACTGAAATTTTAGGATTAAAAATAAAATAAAAAAATTTATTTTTTAACATAAGGCTGATGTACGCACTTTAGTATATCTGCAATATTTTGTATATAATAGTAACAAATTTGCAAAGTTATTAGTTAGAGATTACTTGTATATTGCCATTGTATAAAACTAGCATAAATACAAAGAGACTAGAATCTTTGTTTTAATATTGATATTATTATCTTAGAAATTAAAATCAAAATGTAAGTAATACGTTTGTCGTACACATAACATGTGTATCTTATTTATTATAATATGTTCTTTAACATACTTATGCGATAAAATTTTTATATAGTTATTTACATTTTAAATTTTCAACGTTGTAAATAAAGTTACTCTTAAAACAAGCTTGTAAAAGATCATTTAGAATAACGATTAATAACAGTGCCACAATTGAATGATTTGTTAAATGGAAAAATTAAAGGTAAATTCTTGTTTATTAAAACTGTTTACATATTCTGTTAACATCATTTAATTGAAATTTTAATCTCTTTTCATCGCACAAAATTTGTAACCAAAGAATGCGATACTTACTCTTTTAATGGGGATTCTGTTTTCCAAAATCTATGAAATATTTGTTTGAACTTGAATCTCCATTACGTGTTCAGAATAATTTATTTTTTTCTTAACTAGATACATACTGAATACATCTACTAAAATTGGTATTTTGTAAGTACCAGTACATAAAGCTAAAACACTTTTGTACTATGCATGTTATACATGGACCCAACAAATAATTTAACTCATGTATTGTCGCGTGTTTACGTGTAAAATGTTCTATTGCTACACTACTTACAGATCCGGTATAAAGTATACATTACGTTGTAATGAAATGTACATATTTTCATTCGCTTACCCTGCCCAATTCAAATATAATTCAGAACGTACGTGATATATCTGTATATTCTATACCTTTTTATATACTATGTACATATACATCGATCCGACCTCTATAATCATCAACTTAGCAATAGTTCGTAAAAAAAACTAATACGATATTGTCGAATTTTTATTACGTAAAAAATCATTAGTTTACGTTTTAAACATTTCGTTGAACGAGTCGGGTGATTTAATGACAATCAAGCGATTATAGTTAAAGTACTTTCGACACTTTTTATCAGCCTATCATACAAAATTTGTCCTCGTCTATAGTTTTGACAATTGTTAAAAACGATGAATATCTTGTAAACTATAAAAAATTGGTTGTATTTTACGTGGGCACATACGGAAAAATGTATTTTTACTACCGTTCGAATAATCCTAAGTGTTTAAGCCTAAACTTATATCGGTCTCCAAATTAATACCTTTAATTATTGGAAGCGATTAAGCTATAGCTTGCATAGAAAGGAACAAACACATAAGTATAAACGATTAAATAGTAGAACCAAAACGATTTACACTCTATATTAATAATATAAACTTCTTACACATACGCTACGAAGAACTTGTAATCGCATGATCGCGCGATAGTCAAAATCGGAAAATCTTATTCTTTCGTGGAGACGAAAGTAACCTAGGACTAGAGGTTTCGCATGATTAATAATAATAATAAAGAAATGGCAAGATCCATGCGGGTATAAATTAGTCGTTATTTATGGATGTGCAGACATCCTCCTATTATCGAAGAATTAATCGTATCATTTCTAGTCCACGATAGTCAACGAACAACTTCAACATATTTAACACTTTTTCTTCATAACAAATGTGAATATTCAGTTTAGTCAAAAATGATCTCTTACACAATTTTATAATTTAAGCTCATCGTACGTAAAACATTTATTACGTTTCTTGCGAATGCTTAATTACTTTAATTCATTCTTTGGAAACGGTC